TTGTTTAAGGTAACAATTTCCTTCTTCTACATGTATTTGAGCATATCTAAGTCTTGTTTAAGTTTTTGAAGTAAGAACTTGCGGAATCAACTATCAAAAGTCGTACACAACTTGTTGTATTTGCTGGACTATTTTGGAGTTGCTTATATGTTGTCTTATGGCTAGAAATCATGAAGTAAGACTTGAGTATGTTGTATTTGTTATTGATATGTACCTTGAAAGAAAGAAGGGTTTAAAGTGTAGCTTTACTAGTTGTAACGTGTGCATGTCGCTAAACATATCGTTTGTGTTGGTTGAAGAGCTAAGTGTATAGTTCTTGGTTGTTGTGATTGTTGTTTTATTGGGAACCTGAGGATTATAAAAGAAATCGGGGAGATTCTGTCCGTTTTGTTATAAAATAAGCTTGTCGTTCAATATATGATAGTGGTATCATTCGTAGCTTATTGATAACATCATTATCATTTTATTATAGATTGCGGTGCTACTCAAGTTAAGCGTATTGAGTTGTTGAACAATTGACTAATTGTATTTAAAGGCTATTTCTCTTCTTTCGATGGCATGAATCCTCAGTTAAGTAAGTTTCGAACATAGTATGCCCAAGAAAAGTCATTCGTAAGGATCACATGTTGTGTTATTCCATCTTGCTCATGACATAGTTATCTATTCTTGGGAATTCCTATTCAGTTTAGCATTGTTCCATGTCTAGTTGAGAAATAGAGAGTATGCAAGTGTCATTTACTTTATCATTATATGCCTACGGGGCTAGACAGATGCCTTCGGGGCTAGACAAATGCCTTTGGGGCTCTACAGTTGCCTAAGAGGCTATACATATGCACATCGAGCCCTATATGAGGCCAAAATAGTTTATTTCGGTATTTACTCATATGATATGAGTCAGATATAAGTTAGTATATTTCCAAATTATCATTGACTCCTCATGTTACATTCAGTATATCATGTATATCAATTCAGGTTTAGTTATTCAATCGCCTTACATGCTCTGTACATTATTTTCTTACTAACGTTGCATGGGGTGCTGCGTTTCATGCCTGCAGGTCCTATCAGTCAGAGATATAGACCTTTGCAATATGTGTTTCGATATATAACTTTATTGGTAAGCTCCACATCATCCGGAGTTACCAGGTCTAGAGTTTTTGTTGTATATCCAGACAATATGGGTAGATCGGAGTCCTGTTCCGACCATAATACAGTTGCATTATGTAGAAGCTTGTAGACATGTCATGTGTGTATAGATTTTAGCGTGATGGCCTTGTCGGCCTTGGTATGTATTCTCTTTTGATTTTATAGGTTGACATTACTCATGGTGAGCTTGTCGGACCGTATATGTACATATATATTTTGGGTTGCTTTCAGTTCAGATGAGATTAGTTGTCATTCCTCAGATTTTCATAAGTTATGGCCTTGCCGGCCTAAGATATTACATAACAGTTTTCAGTTGGCCTTGTCGACGTAAGTAGTCATATATGTTCAGGTAATACAAGTTTCGCTTGGTATGCTCGGTCAAGTAAGGCACTAGGGTGCCGGTATTGCCTCCCCAGATTTGGGGCGTGACAATAAATTAGTTAGAGATTGTAGACATACCTCTTGAAAATCCCAACTTGTGGTGTTCTTGACCAATTTGAGAATTTGAATGGAAATCTATGGATTTACAAGATTAATCCTTGTTAATATAATCTTTTAGGAGTACTAATTAACTCAAAATACTCCAAAAACTTACCTTGGTTCATGGGAGGGATGCGTAGGACGGATTCCCTTTGTTAGAGCAAGCTCTAGGTTAAAGAAATGAGTTAGCTACTCTCTCTCGCCAAGCTTGGGGGTATTTATAAGGTCCCTGTGTGTGTGTTATCACGCACCTAGGAAAGCGAGCGTGTAGCTTGGAGCGGAAAGCAGAAAATCTTACTTCTATTCACTATCGCGCACCTAACAACCCCTGCCCGCAACTTAGCGTGCATATATGACATTGTTAGGTAAAATGGCAATAACTTTCTGTAGAAATACCCAAATAATAAACAGTTTAATGCATTAGAGACTAGACTCAATGATTTTTTATTTGATACATAGTTCACCACATAAATCTTTATATTTTGGGAGTTGTACCCGTTTGAAGTCGAGTCTTGTGCGAACTCATTTGAAATTTTAGCCCATCGCAGAGTTTCCAACATGGATTAGTTCTAAGACTCTCCTTAGGCCCTAAACTACTTCTAATGCATCTCCTACATTTACTATCATGATCATCTAAGTTGGTTTTAATCCATAATCTCTTCTGGAAGGTAAAACTATAATTACGCGACTTATGAGCGCGCTTTAGGGCCTCACACTTATAGGAAATTTTGAGGGGGATTACAAATAGGCTACAGACCATGACGACCTGGCTGACCATCTAGGGAATTGTGGCTTATTACAACTTCGAGGCTCCCCATAATTGCCAGTTGACATGTCCCTTATCTACTCGTTGTCTCTGTATCGATCAACCTGAAGCTTTTACTTATGCTCCTCTGTCATATGTGCAAAGGCCTGAATCCTAGAGATATACATGTCCATATTCAAGGATATAATAGAATATTCCCCGATAAAGCATCCCAAGAACAAGCATGAATTGACGAACTCCGGCATGCATCGTATAAACTATTATCGGAGCATATCTGGCCAGTGAAGCAAATTTGAGGTTATACTCCCTCATGCTCATTTCACCTTTCCTGAGAGATCTAAATTGACCAGCCGTAGATTCAGGGATCTTGATTGGTAGATAATGTTAGTAAGGCCTCAGCGAACTCTTCCCATACAGCTGGAGGTGCATCTGGCCCTCTAGACGTTTCCCATGACTCGTACCACAATACTGCTACTTTCTTCAATCTGTAAGAAGCCAAATCTACAACCTCGATTTCTGAAGCATGCATCAGCTGAAGTGTCATGTAGAGCTCATTAATGAAATTTTATGGATCTTTATTCAGGTCGAATCCTTTAAACTATGGCAGATTCATATGGAGGAAATCTCGAACTCTCGAACTGGCTAACTCTCAAGAAGGTCCGACACTCCGAGATGCTTCTGTCTTTTGTTGTGACTGAGTGGCTACTCTTTAAGTAAGCAACTGAATTGTATTCTTATGATCCCGAAGAAGAGTTGGGCAGTGGAACAAAAGGTATGAGAACTCCTTGGGGCTCCTCTGGTCCTGATGACTGTGATGATTGGGGTATTTAAGTAGGTAACTCACTCTAAGCCTCCATCTGGCCCACAAAAGCAGGTGGAGGCCATCTCTCTTGTCATAGCCATATTCTGTAAAGCACATAACAAAGCACTAGTTAGAATCGAGTTCTTTAGATAGCTCTACTGCATGATCTAGAGTTCCAATAAAGGGTAACAATTCCTAAATGCTCCGTAGCCTCATAATTATAAGACTTAAACGACTCCCAATTATAAGTGTGACGCACAATACACCCCTAAGCAGGAGTCTACTAGATACGAATTTATAGACTATTTAGGGCATATACCTGATATGTTATCAAGTTTGTCACGCCCAAAACTTGGGAGAGGCGGATAGGCACCCGGTGCCTTAACCTGACCGAGCGAACCAACTTGTAAGACTTATGAACCTAGTGTATACTGTATCACATAACATATGAAAACATGCTAATTTAGGAAAAATGACAACATCGATTACTTCCAATGCAAAAGAGATATATTATATACATATAGGGTTCCATGGCCGTAAAACGTGTCGACAATCCGACACCTAAGTATTGAGTTAACACACGTACATGACTAACAATACCAACTACACAAGTCTACAAAGCCTCTATGAGTGTCTGACAACAATACAACTATCGGGATACGATCCCGACCTACCCATAAAGTCTATACATATGTACATTATAAAATGACTAGACTCGGCCAGACTTCAGGTAGAAATGGAGCTCACCGAACAACCGTTGAATGCCTGTAACTGCCTACTGGGGTGGCCTGCCAACCTGAGTATCTGACGTACAATATGAATATAGCGCCCTCGACAAAACAGACATGAGTACAGATGTAATTGTACTCGTATATAAGACAAACCAAATAATAATGAAGGAACAAAGGTTCATAACAGAGACAACTGAAATGTGATCGCCTAAATACATCAGAAAGCTATGAAACAACTTACATGAATACATATCAGATCTTATCGTTCTTATGTTACAAACATCTTTTTGAGTGCTTGCTGAGTTATATGGAATCATATTACTTGTCAACTTGGAATTGTTACATGACCGATGAGTTGTTTTAATTCTGGAATATAGTGAGCCGCATAGGGCATATAACATGTGAAAACATCTTGTGTGAGGCACGATGTTTCCATTCCCCCGTATATTAATGCACCAAACTTTCTTTTTATTGGAGTTGAACTTAAAATCGAATTATAGACTTTTAGAAATTATTTTTACTTATTCTTTCGCAAAACCCTAAAACGAAACAACAATCTTTCATTTTTCACATACTAGAGGTACATATTGGGGCTATTTGCACAAATGTGATACTTTTGTGTTACTATTATTTTTTTTATCTGTGGTAATAAAAGTTTGAGAAAAATATCTCATGCTAGAATTTTAAATTATGCTGGGCAAGACCTTTTCTCATGCTGAGTTGGATTTTCCTTAATAATAAGTTATAGTAATCGATAGAATTTTATCACAAATTCTGACGATCAACAGAAGTATGCTTTGATATATGATTTAGAAAAATCAAGAGCATACTTTAAAATTTTAGAGCGGAACAATTTTCTTAAAATATTTCTTAACTAGATAAAATATAACTATAGTTTAAAAGAGAAAGTCTAACCAATAAGGGTTGTGGTGGAGTGGTAAGTATTCCTTTATGCTTAAGGTTTCGTGTTGGAGCTTCCGTGCGATTCCGAATTTAGTCGGGCCCAACTTTGCTGGCGCATGCACGGTGCTAAACCAAAAAAAGAGAAAGCGTAGAAACACCCAAATTGAAACCCATAAACCGATATCCATTACCCAAACGGAAAACAATCAAAATAAATTCTATCCAAATACAACTCGGTCGCGGTTTTCATTCTTCTTTTTTCTTCCTGGAAAACAAGATCTATACTACTACTATACTATCTTTTATGATCGTATGTGATAATAACCCAAAGTTCACCCTTTTTTCTCGCTTTATATATTCCAAATACTCTGTCATTTAAATCTCTTCAAATTCTAAAACTGAGTTTTAATTTGGGCAAACAAAATTTAGAAGAATGGGAAAAAATCAAGCTTACAAAGCTATGCAGCGAGCGAGGGTTGGTTCTAGCTCAGCCGGACCTGAAGATGTTGATGATGGAATGGTTCGTCCCTTTTCACACTATTCTATTTCAGTTCAACTTCATTCATTTTACTTTTGTGGTTTGATTTTTTGAATATTTGTTTTAGATTTTTATTTGGTTGTAAATTATTGTTGACTTAATAATTTTAGTGCTGCTCTTGCGTATGGTTAGAATTTCAAGATATTATATTATCTTTTGTTAAAAAGTTGATGTTGTGATTAACTGTGTAAAATTATCTGCTTAAGGTTGGTCTGGTGTGGCAGATTTTTTTTTTTTTACTTTAGAACATCATTTTCTATTTCCAGTGGTGACATATGGTAATTATACGATGTGTAGGATAAGGTATAAGACTAGTCTTTTGAAAATATTTTGGTGTAAAATGACTTGTGACAATATGTGAGGAAAATCATTTTCTCCAGACATTGGCAGTGTGAGGAAACGATTTTCTATGTGCAAAACATGCCAAGGGAGTTTAATTTTTTGGGACTCAAACCTCTGAATCTAGAGTCATTTCAACTAGAAAGACATGCAAAAACTTTTCTTTTTCTCAGAGTCCTAAAGCAGAATAATATACACATAGTAGCAAGCAGCAAAAAAAAAGGCAATCTTGACTAGTGAAAAAGTAACTGGAAAACAAGAAGAAGAGGAGATTCAACATACCCTTATATGGAAACAACTTTCACTGTTAAGAAATTAACAACTGTAACTGGAAGTATTTGATCAAGCTTCATGATGGTAAAAGATAAGAAAAACAATTACTCATTTCATTGATTGTATAAGACAATTAAAGTCTAATTAATTCTGAGTAGCGTTATCTCTAGACTCTAATTATTTTAGTTTCTATTTGTGCTGCTTATGTTTTTCTTCAATTTTTTTCCTTAAAGTTTATATAATTGAGCTAACTTTTTCTATTTAGTACGTTGGAGAATTTTCTGTTCCTTGTTTTTGTGCTTTGTCTGATGAGGACTGTCGCAGGTGGATGGTTCTTTTCATACACCAGAGTGGCATGCTGCTCGTTTGGCAAGCCTTAAAACTTCTCATACAGTTACCTGGGAAGAGTTCAAAAAGAAACAGAAGGTAACATACTCAGCCACCTTGATGGTCATAGGAGAGTGTACATATTCTTGGTTTGTAGTTTGCAGGTTTTGCTTACTTGGACTGCATGGCTTCAAATTTGATCAGTTTGTTGCTTTCTGAAGCTAGGTAGAAAATAGAAAGAAAATGTTAGTTGATGTATATTACATCGAAGTACAGTTATATAAGACAACATTGTTAAATTTGTTTAATAAACACCATTGTGATTGTCTTAAATGAAACTATGAAAGTAAACATACCTACATGTAGGTACACTGAGAACACTTAAGAAGCGAACCTTGAAGAAAGATACGAAAAGAGGAACTAAGTATGCTTGGTTATGGTATATGAGTGCTGGATATTTTTGCAGACACCACTAGCCCTACATACTGAGGAACAACTCCAATATGCAGAATGTGTCTAGATGGCCTTGCTTTAATCATTATGTTGTTTTGTACAACTAGCAAGTAATTGCATGAACATTTGGAGGTTGGATATTTTTAGCTATTACTAACTACCTGGTTCTTGGAGAACTTCTGCATTTTGTGGATCACTACTAGTATTATTTTCTTATAGAAAAAAAAAGATTATTTCTATTGTTTCCTGATAATATAGCTATTCTTTCTTACTCTCTGTATCTTATTCTGGAGATGCATAATACTAATGATACTCTTTTAGGAAGAAGAAATGAGAAAAGGTGAGCTAGAAGCAGACAAAGATAAAATGATGAGGGAATACAGAGCTCAGCTAGATGCTGAAAGGGCCATCAAGCTCTCTCAGGGGAGGAACCATTCCAGCAGTAAACACAGCCGTAAAAAGGGTACAGTGCTCTGAAATTGCAGAATGGGACAATTTTCTAGTTCTTTTAGTTATAGTTATATCTTTAGTATCTTAAATTTCTAATGACTTAATCAGTTCTTCCTTGACGGTGAAATTCATTGTTGCAGATAAGAAGGACAAAGATACAAAGAAACACAAAACCAAAAAGAGAAAGGTGAAGATTTTGTTCAATCTAGACCTCTTTCCTTTGCTTGTGAGAATGAAAAGTTGCCGATAATGGATAATCTTACTTAGGTTAAGCATGGTTGTCTTTTTATACCATGAAATAAACATGTTTAAAGATCTTTTAGTGCTGTTGGCTTTTCTATCCTAAAGTGGCAAGCTGTAGCTACCTGAATCATCTTGCTTGATACCATATCATTTGCATTGCATTTAGATGAAACCAAATGTTATTTTTTGGGTTAGAACTTATTCTATAATTATTCAAATAGAGAAAAAGTTATGTAACTGAAAACAGCGACACCCCTAGGCCCTAGTAAAAAGGTGCAAATACCCATTTCTGTCTTCGGTGAGAAATTGGTTGATCTAATTTTTGGTCGATTAGGAGTTTCACTGGTCTTATAAACTTAGAATCAGATTCTCCAATAAAGGGTTTGTGGATGGCGGCATTGGTGCTTGGGGTCTTGTACTTCTATATCATGGCCAAGTCCTCCTGCCAGTTTTGAGCTTCCTAGTAGCACCTTTTGATTTGCCATCTAACTTAACTATGCTGTAGCCGATGAAAACAAAAAGAGGAGAATTTTTAGTTTCAGGTGAGATAAAGATTTTCTGCGGTTCTCGTTGCTTTCACTTGCTGCTGAATGAATCCTTGATCATTAGACTTATTGATGAGATTTAAAGGACTTTTGAGGTCTGTCTATTACTCCCTCTGTTCCAGTTTATGTGAATTTATTTCCTTTTTGGTCCGTTTCAAAAAGAATGACCCATTTCTAAATTTAGAAACAATTTAGTTTAAACTTCCAATTTTACCCTTAATGAGAAACATTTATAACCACAAAAAAAACTCTGGACCCCTTTTTGACTTGTTTAGGATCACAAATTCAAAGTCTTCATTTTTTCTTAAACTCCGTGCCCAGTCAAACAGGTTCACATAAATTGAAATGGAAGGAGTATATGTTAACCTGAGCTGTGTGTGCATGTAATAAGAAAATTCAATATAGCACGCTTATGCTTACAATTTCCACCTATATATGGTAAGATGAAATTTCAAAGTGATAGATTTAATCTGAATTGGTTCCATTTGACAAGAGAGTTACTCCCGCGGTTGAGCCCCTCCTCTTCCAATCAAAACGTTGGGAGTTCGAGTAGATATAGGGGAAGTGGGAAAACAACATTAAATACCCCGGGGAGGGGGTTTACCAAATCAACCGAAAAAATGATTTAGTCCTGATTCTTGATTGTCATTTCTCACGTCTTAAAGTGACCGACTATGTTGTAGGAACAAAACATTGCCCCCTAGGGTTAGTTCAAGTGGCAAAGGTTGAGGGTCTTGTGACATAGATCACTGGTTCGAGCCCTGTGCCATGCAAACTAAGCCTGGTATTTAAGTGGAGAAGGGTAAAGGGGCCGCATTATCCCCGAGTTTCAAAGGCGGCGGTTGGTCCTAAGAGGTTGGCCCCATATGGATTTCTTGGTCATCAAGAAGAAAAACACGTTGAAAGAAAGGATATGATTATAAGACAGACAAGGGTTATTAGATGATCTATGTGCTTGGAATGAAAGAAATGTCAAAAACATAAATAACATGGAAAGATTAAAATAGGAAAAATTAGCTAACATATATTTGACTTGATGAGATAAGAAGTAGCAAATGCTAATCCTTAAAACTAACAATTGAGAGCTTCATATGTACTTCAATAAGCGTCTGAACAGGTAATTGCTTGACCAAAAATTTGAACTTACTAAATCTTTCTAGCTATCAGTTATCAATGTTCTATTCTAATTGGTGTCTCTGTTAAATGTTGAACATGCAGTAGCAGTTGAACTAAATGAATTTCCATGAAGAATAGCTTAGCAATTGTCAAATAGTCTGCATACTTTTATCTCCATGTTGAATATAAACTAAAAATTTGTACTAAAAACAAATGGAGTGCCTCCATTGTACAAGGGAGCAAAAAAGAAAGAAGTCTCAACAGTGAAACCTATAACACCTTTAGATGATCTTGTAGATGTTACCCACTAGATTTATCGGTCTGAAATCCTTGATACTGTTTGCCTTGTCCAATAATTGTAATTAAAGAAGAAACATTAGTGCTCTTCTCAAATTTTCTTCTAGAACGAAAATGTCTTACTGCACTCATGATTTCTTCTTTATTTATGTTCCAACTTTGATAATTGTTACTCCCTCTGTTCCAGTTTATGTGAACCTATTTCCTATTTGGTCCGTTCCAAAAAGAATGACCCCTTTCTAAATTTGGAAACAATTTAGCTTAAACTTACAATTCTACCCTTAATGAAAAGCTTTTACAGCCACACAAATACTCTGGACCCCTTTTTGAGTTGTTTAGTACCACAAATTCTAAAAGTCTTCATTTTTTATTAAACTCCGTGCCCAGTCAAACAGATTCACATAAATTGGAACGAAGGGAGTATTAAAGAAGAAGCATTGGTACTCTTCTCAAATTTTCTTCTAGAATGAAAATGTCATGATATTTTCTTTATTTATGTTCCAACTTCGATAAAAGAAGTTGTAAAATCGTCAAGGTGTGTACTTTGTCCCCGGCATTGCTGCTAATTACCCTTATGTTTCCTTCTCCGTGAACTCTCTCTCCGAACACTCTTATTTCCTCCCGTATGTTGCTAAAATCCACTCCTAGTTGTGGTATCTTCTCTAATTCTTTATACAATTGTCTGTAGAAGACCTTAATAGCTCTCTTACTTCCTCTTTTTCCTCTTACTTTATTTGGCCACCTCAATTATGTTCACAAATCTCTTCTCTTAGTGTAAGCTAATCAATGCAAAATTAAGATGGCAGACACAGACACTTTTTTAGTCGCTACACCTTTTTTTTATATCTGTTTGCCAATTGTCATATTTGGTAACTCCCCCTTCACTTCTTCATTTTCTCTACCCTTTTTAAGTCCATCTTCCCCTCTTTCATTTCTTCCTCTGAGTTCGTTCATTAGACACCTCAACTTTGTTTCTACCCTCCGAAAAACTTTACTGCTCCACTTTCTTACTTCATTTTTTAACAGATATAATTCCCCTGCCATAGAGAAGTATGGGTGAACTTGGACTCAATCAACTTCCCCAACAATTACCTGCTATTTCGTTAGTTGTGTGCCGCGACCACTTTTTTTCAAATCTGAAAATGTTTTCAACCTCTTCCATCCTACTACCAGTCTACCACTAGCAAGATGGGTAATGGTCTAATGTGAGCAAGGAAGAGGTACGTGGATGGCCTCTGGAACTGTCTCCTCCCACTCTGTCTAGATAAGAAAGTTGTCAGATCTCTGCCAATAACCCGCGGAATCTCCTGCCAAGTCGTCTACCCTGAAACTCTCCATACACTCCTCAAAAAAGATTCTGGTTTCCCCCTTTTTTAGTTGCAACCACACTAAGAGACCCCCCCTCCCCAACCAAATCTCTTCATTCCACGCCCCTCCACACATCTCACATGTGTTTCTTTATTGATGAGCATTCCAAATCTTTTATTCCTTTACTTTTATTTTATCCTTCACCATACCTTCATTACCTGCTTCTCACCTTCATTGCTCTTTCCTCAAACCCCTCAAACTCCATTCAGAAGATTCCGGACACAAGAATCTGCATCTGAACTCATGTTGATAAATTATTCCTTTCGTCTCTCTCCCTTCCAACCTTCTTGTTCCTCCTGTCGAGCATTTTCTTATTTCTCTGATTTGTCCCTGACTTTTCCCTTTCATCCACTATCTTACTATCTCCATTTTGCCCTCAGCACAACATTCCGCTCTCCCAACTATTCGTTACTTGACCCATGTTTAACTTAACACTTGCCTGTCATTTCTTTCACCTGAAGAGTCATTTTGCTTTAAGGTACCTTTACAACTATGATGCATACGGGGAGGTGGATGTTCTGCTTTTTTGTCTATCAAACTACAATTTTATACTTTAACAAAGCAATGATGCCTTTAAAAAAAACTATTTATACAAGTAGCTAAGTAGAAATAGAGAGGACCTCTGTTCAGAACTGTGAGAAATAATACACGGGAAAATATTATGTTATTGATGTACCCTAACTATAATACAAGTACCCCTATTTATAACAATACACAATACCTACGCTACTCCTATTTCACGTAGGACTATGCTTATTTACATAACAACTAACTAACTAACAATCCCCCTCAAGCCGGTGCATACAAATCATATGTACCGAGCTTGTTACATATATAACTAATATGAGGACCGGTGAGGGGCTTGGAGAAAAATTCTGCAAGCTGATCATTCGACTTCACAAACTTTGTAGCAATATCTCCTAAGAGTATCTTTTCTCTGACAAAGTGACAGTCAATCTCAATGTGTTTAGTTCTCTCATGGAACACCGGATTTTGATGCAATATTGAGGACAACTTGATTATCGAACACAGGTTCCATCTGGCTGATTTCACCAAATTTCAACTCCTTGAGCAATTGTTTGATCCAAACTAGCTCACATGTTGCCATAGCCATTGCTCGATATTCTGCTTCCGCACTAGACCGAGCAACTACATTCTGTTTCTTGCTCTTCCAAGATGCCAAATTGCCTCCTACTAAAAAACAATATCCAGACGTAGAACGTCTATCTGAAGATGATCCTGCCCAATCAACGTCTGAGTATCCAACGATCTGCTCATGGCCTCGATCCTCAAACAATAGCCCTTTTCTTGGAGCCAATTTTATATACCGAAGAATGTGGACAACTACATCTCAATGACTATCACAGGAGAATCCATAAATTGACTTACAACATTCACAAGAAAGGAAATGTCAGGTCTAGTCACTATGAGATAATTTAATTTACCAACCAGCTGCTTATATCTTGCAGGATCACTAAGCGGCTCCCCATGTCTCGGCAGAAGTTTAAAATTCGGATCTATCAGAGTGTCAACAGGTCTACAGCCTGTCATTCCTGTCTCCTCAAGAATGTGTAAGGCATACTTCCGTTGTGAGATCACAATACTTGAGCTAGACTGA